GATATTGTGTCATTCATGTTTTACAATTCGCCTGATGAGTGTGGCCCTGTGTGGTCATATGAAACAGATTTGTAGCGATTAAAGATATGAAGTAACCAAGTTCATCTGCTATTGTTTTATTTCTACATATATATATATATATATATATATATATATATTTATATATATATACATTTATACATGTATATATATAACAAACAGAAAGAAATGTCAACTTCTTTACTTCACTCCTTCATTGCACAATTTGTTTCGTAAGTAAATTATAAGGAAATAAAATAAATTATAAGGGCATAAAATACTTTTTAAAAAAAACATGTAAAATCAAAAACATCAAAATACGATTCCGGTACTTATTGGATACTTTAACGAAAAGCAGGAAGCGAAATACAATTGTAAAGTGCTCATAGATACTGTTCCATAAACTTAGTCCAGATGCAGTAATGTGGTCTGATTACCTAAACCTTTGTCCAGACTATCAAATTTTATTCGACAAAAACATGTGACATGCCTAAATATGGTCATGATGACATCACATCATCACCATATATAGGCACATCATGACTATATAAGGGAATGCAACCGTTTTTTGTCAAATATAATTTGATAGTCTGGACAGGGCGGGCTTAAGTTTAACATGAGATATAGATGAAGTAAATAAGACTTTTTTTTTCTATACTTTACAATAATGTAAAGATAAACCTCTTTACTACCATACATAATGCGTATGCATACAGCAACGAAAAACGAAACACAACTGTAAATAAGTAATTGAAAATTAAAGTGTAATGAGATATTAATTAATTAATTAATTACATAATCGATTATCTTGAAAATTACTTGAGTGGATTCGGCTAACAATACAGAAAAAACTAATACAGAATACACAATCTTTCGAAGAATTTAATTTAATAGTTTTCTTATGGAGTTACTGGTATTCTTTACTGCATGATTTTCTCGATAATTTTGAGTTTAGCGTTAACAATAAAGAATTACCCGGTTATTAGGCAGTGGCTATCGGCACTACCGCAGTGTATAATAATAATAATAATGATAATACTAATAATAATAATAATAATAATAATAATAATAATAATAATAATAATAATAATAATAATATTTCATGCACAGTGCTCGAATTATTGCATGAATGATTCGAATACTTCTGTAGTCTTTGTCAACGCTTAACACACACACTCACACACACAAATAATTTAATCAACTGTCAATAAAAATCTTTAAATGGTCCTCCTATCCACACCCTACTGCGCATTGTCACAAAAAAATAGATCATTTCTTCATTTCACCATGACAAACTGTTCTGCAAAGTGTCATTTTTATCCATCTATAACTGGGACGTAAGCAATTAAATGACCCTCAAATTTACACCCTAACCTGGATCGTCTCATACAAATAATAAAATCTTCCTTGTAACTTGGGTTAAATTTTCCCGAAAATTTCATTCGGATCAGTTGACCCGTTTTTGAAATATCTTTTCCTTTAAATGGTCCTCATATTCACACCCTACGCCGGATCATCACAAAAAATTTAGTCATTTCTTTATTGGACCTTTACAAGCTATTTTAGAAAGTTTCATTTACATTTTATTATAGAAATTTTCAATTGAAAACTTTTTATAGATAATTACGTCTTACATCTCAAAAATTTAAATTACCCTCCAATTTACACCCTTGACTGATTCGTCGCCAACACATAATACAATCTTTCTTGTAACTTGGGTAAATTTTTTCCGAATGTTTCATTCAGATCAGGTGATCCGTTTTCGAAATATGTGGTCTGGGACGTTTTCCTTTCAATGGTCCTCAGATCTACACCCTACTCCGGATCGTCACAAAAATGTTATCATATTTTTTACAAGACCTTTACAAAGTATTATAGAATGTTTCATTTAGACCCATTAGTTTTTTTTTACTACTTTTTGATGCCAATTTCTGACCTGAAAAAAATTCTGTATATCGTACGCTTGTCGGGCATGGAAATTAAGAAGTGTACTTTTATTGGAGAAAAAATAGCAATGTTCTGAGAGGTACGCTTGACCATTTCACCACTCTTTTAAATTGTACTGTTCTTCCTTTGCTGTTGCATTTCTGATTGACTGCGTACGATTTGATGTATTCTTTTTGTATTTTATTTACATTCGCTGCTTACATGTGTATACAGTATATGTGTATATATTTACAGTTTGCGCGTATGTATGTTTATGTATGTATATGGGTATGTTATTTTATTATTATTATTATTATTATTATTATTATTATTATTATTATTATTATTATTATTATTATTCGGGATTTCTTGAATTCTGATGTTAATGGTTTTTTTTTGTTTTTTTGTTTTTTTGTTTTTTTAGGGATTGGAAAGGGAAGGGAGGGGGTAACTTCGATTTCGGGATTGGAAAAGGGAAGGGAGGGGTAATTAAGACTTTGATTTTTACTTTTTGTTAAGCTCATTTACTTTTACTTTTGATTTGTCATGTTTTCATTTTGTTTGTTTTCTTATATTTTTCTTGGACGCACCGTTTTCTATGTGTGCCACTGTTGTAAAAGTGTAGCTTCCAAATAAAGAATATAATACATTAAAAAAAATACAAAACTTCAACATCCTACTAACTCTATTGGTATTCAATATGGAGCACTGTACACAAAATATCGGCTTTTGATGCATATATTATTTTGATGTCTTTAAATGTTGTCTGTAAAAAACTGCACTAAAATCGCTATATATTAAGTACTAGAAAAATTGCAGTTTTGTCTGCCAAAACCATGGTCTTACTTGTCTAATATATTTCCTATAATTAAAGACTGGCACTCAACATGGTTCCCAAGTTGGAAGAATCTCCATCTGGGAAAATCTGTTAAATGAGTTTTCTTAGGACATCTAAATATATTTTGCTGTGCATGTTGATAACTATTATGATTGCATTAAATTCTGAAAGACAATTGGTAATAAAATAAGGAAAAAACTTGTAGAAGCATGCAAATATCATCATGAATTTGCAGGAGATGGTTTATTTCGGAAGTTTCTTGCTTGCTTGTGGGGCGGTGCGGGAGGCCTTCCTGTCAGTTTCCAGGAGACTCTATTCCGGGACTCTGCTGGAGACTTGGGACTTCTGGGCCCTAAACATGGCCAGACATCAACTTGTCTTTCTATTAAAATATTACTAACATTGACACTAATATTATCATTATTCAATATACAAAACACTGTACACAAAACAGTACATTGTCTAATATTTTTGTGTAAAGTCATATAGGGCCTTATCATAATTTATTATTTAAAAATATTGCATTAACATCTATTTATTTTACAGTGGTCTTTAATTGGAGGGAAAATATTCAGTTGGGTCTGCCAAAACCAATGTTTTTGGTCTCTAAATAGAGGGAATCTTTAATTGGAGAGAATAGCTAATGATAAAAGATACCGTAGGTAGTCAACCGGGGCCGCAGAAATGGAGGGGTCATTCATTGGAGGGATAACTGTATATTTATACATTGTAGTTATAGGTCACAATGTTTATATCAATCTATTCATTAATTAATTATTAATTAACTAATTAAGATATTAATTAAGATATATTGATTAACATTTTCGTCAGTTCGTGTTTATTTATACGGTATTTCGACGGATATTCGTCACCCCGTGTAAACCATCCTGAGCTCTGCTTATCAAAAACACGCGGTATTTAGCGTGATAGAAAACACATTGGCGATGTTTTTGGTTTAATTCTTACATTTACATCCAGCGTTAGGCCCACTGAATTGTTTAAATGCTTAAAAAAATGAAAACATAAATTATGTTGATTAAATTATCATAGAATTTACAATAATACTTATAATTTATAAGGTTATTTTTTTTAACAGAATAAACTAGATACCATTTTAATTTAAAAACAGATTTTACATAGACTTACGTTGATTTAATATGCAGTATCATTATTATTGGTGTAAAAATACCTCATAATCAAACTATCGTAAGTAGGCCTATTGAATTATTATTAAAGTATTATTAATTCATTATTAAAGTATTATTCGAGCACTGTTATTATTATTATTATCATTATTTTATATATTATATATAAACCATAGTATAACATTGAAAACATAAATTATGAGGATAAAATTATCATAGAAATAAACTTATGATTTATAAGATTATTCTATAAAACAAAATACAATAGATAAAATGTTTATTTTAAAAACAGGTTTTGCATAGACGTAAGTTGATTTAATATGCTGAGTCATTATTATCCTTTTTCAAACTATCGTAAATAGGCATATTGAATTATTATTAAATATTGTTAATTCATTATTGAAGTACTATTCAAGCACTATTATTAGTATTATTATTATTATTATTTTAAAAGGTGTTAAAATACAAGATACAATTAATTAGTTAATATAAAACATATATAATATAATGTACATACAGTAATATAAAGCTAGGCTAGACCTAATTAATTGTTGATAATAATAATCTATCTATCAAAACATCCGTTTTAAACAGTAGCTTTTCAACTGTGGCAGTGCCGGTAGAAAGCTGCAGTTTAGCTGGCACTGCGGCAGAGCCGATAGAAAATTACGGCTTTTTTTTTCGCACTGTGGCAGTGCCGATAGAAGGTAGCAGCTTTTTCGCACTGGAGAGCAGCTTTTTCCGCACTGTGGCAGTGAAGATAGTAGACAGCAGCTTTTTCGCACTGCAGCAGTGCCGATAGAAGACAGCATTTTTTCGCTTTTTCGCACTGCAGCAGTATCGATGGAAAACAGCAGTTTTCATTCGCACTTAGACAGTACCGATAGCCTCAGTCCGGTTATTATTTATGTAGAATCTTAATATGCACATCTTTGTTTTATAACAAAAAAGCTAATAACATAAGTGTAATGGAAATGTCATTGAATATAGATGACAATTTGTTCGTAAAATCTATACATAGTGTATGAAACATGGTCGGCCCTGTACAACCTTCAACCAACAACCGGAAGAAGTACGACGTCATCAGGAGATGACGTCATGAACAAGTCTGCAATGTCACCTGACATTCAACCATAGATCTTTGACAGAGATGGAAACGTCATGAGGCAATGTAAGTACTTCGTTTCATATTATAAAGCTTTTACAAAAGAATTTAATAATACTCCGTTTCGTACTTTTAATCTTTAAAAAAAAATTGTCGAGTAAAGTACGAGTAAATCATTAATTGAATATGTTTAGGGAGAGCATAAAACACATTGTAAGTAGTTCTGAAAAGAACTGTTGTAGTTGAGGAACTACTGTACTTACGTGGTGTACCGCAAGTTTCAACATATATTTATTACTTCGCCATGCAAACCTTTAAACAATAAAACAACTCCCCCAAACGAAAAAATATAGACCCTCCATGTGTTGTGTGATTATACATTGTAAAATGAGGCAAAAATGTTCACCCCTATAAAAAAAAAAAAAAAACCCCTGGTCAGATACCATGGAGAAAATTATGAAATATAGGATAGGATAGGCCATATAGAGCACTGAGGGAAAAGTTTAAACATCTTATCCCTGCATTGAAAGAACTCGCAATAGTCGGAAAATAAACAATCAGTGGAAAGATTGCATGTTCAATCAGTGAGTCTGTTCTTGCGATTCTCATAGTAGGACTACTATATATTTATGACGTCATCACATTATCACGTGAAACCACTAGCAATACCGAAGGTTAATAAAATACATTATACACAGACCTACGATGATATGTTTGGTTGGTTATGCCTTTATACGCGGTTATCATTGTGTAATCGTTAGTCATGTGCCGATAATTAGGCATTTGTTTGACCAGGGATGGCTTTGTAGAATGATACGAACTGGAACGTGAAGGACCAGGGCTACGACTTGCTCACTGGTAAGTGTACAACGAAAGTTTCAATTAGGAACATTAGGCCTATATCATTTAGCTCTAGGAAATATTCCAATAATATGTTAAATACAGTTCCGCAGCTGTGATTTAGTTTCATAGTAGTGTGTTTCCTTGTTAGAAAATAATATTTTGGTATACAGTAGCCTGTTTGTGTGAACAGATCCAACAATTTGAATCTCATTCGGACCCACCTTAGTTTTCTGAAGGTGTACTTTTTGTGTCACATGGTACATATATGGGACTTAATTGTGATATTTGCATTCGTATAATTACGACTATTTGGTCGTGACCAAAAAAACAAATCCACTCCTTTTCATAAGGATTGTTTATGCATGGAGGAATTAGTTTAGACTAACTAAACTAATTTCTCAATGGCTTATGCATGCTTGGGAGTGTCAACTGTATTATTTTGTGAAAGCGATTGTTACTTTACGACAGTGAAAGTTCTCTCCCTGTAGGCCTATTCGTAATGTGGTCCATTATATACCTAACCAGGGAGTTGCTATAACAACTCCCTGACCTAAATGATGAAGGTCCACCAAGGACTATATTTAATTTTCATTAATTTAAGTATACTGTACTTATTCAAATGAGTTATTCTGCAGGCATTAGTAGGCCTACAAGAAAAATAGGCCTAAATTATTTGATAAGAAAATGAAGACAGAATTGTTACAGGTTCCAGTTTTGGTATTGTACAAATCACGTGTTAACCACTAGACCACGAAGAATTTTGTTGTGAACACAAGTATCAGGATATCGATTTTTAACATGATGACATCACAATGGGGATACAGTGACACAATCTTCACATGAATGAGACGGCCAGTGTTCATAGACACGCTCTCGACTGCACATGGAGTTGAAACGAAAGTACTGTTTAATTATGTGTAATAACAAAAAAACAAGACTTGATTATTATGCAGATTCTACTGGTGCATGTCCTTGAATGGGTCTTTCGAGAGTGTCGTGCTTGGTATATTGGTGGGACCTTAGCAACGACATCCAAGGGGCGGGACTTAGCGGAAAGGTCCATTATAGGTCAGGTAATTATTTTAGCATTGCTTCATACGCAGAATTACTGTAATCTAATCAAATAATATTAAATGAGGTTTGGGTACCTCGAATATGTGTCTACGCCCCCGGAACTCGTTAGCACCGCAACGGTTACAAAGTAGGAACCGTACCAGTTGGAGAGTCCTTAATTAATACTGTAAACGAGAGAGAGAGAGAGAGAGAGAGAGAGGGAGAGAGAGAGAGAGAGAGAGAGAGAGAGAGAGAGAGAGAGAGAGTGCTGATAGACTTCAAATGGATAGGGTTCTTGAATAAAAGACTAAATAAAGGGTTTAAATGAAAGGAATGAAAATGTATAATTGTTGTGGTAAGATATGCTCAAATAGAATATAAGGTTATGTCAATTAAATTATAAAATCTATCATAGTAAAAAAGGAACAGAGTTGATACTGACTTAATCTAAGTAACAATTAATTAGGCCTACAAATCAATAATATATATATTCATACATAAACAGTGGCCTATTAGTAAATTCTTTTGATACAAACCAATTTTATTATACCTACTTGGTACGTTTCGATTTACTTCAAGTAAGTTTCGATTTAATTCCAGTCATATTCAGGATAAACTTATTGAGTTCAAATAGGCCTAAGTGGTCTTGTGGTTGAGAGTTAGGCCTAAAGACGGTTCAGTGACTTCTGGTTAAAATATTAAAAGTCATAGCAACGATTGCACATCAAAGATTAATATTATAATAATTCTATTCCGTTTTCCTATGATTGCACACGTTTTTTCTGGTCGGTAATTTGGTCACATTCCGTGCTTTGACCTCCTTCAAACTTTGTGCAAGTAAAGACCATTATCAAAGATGTGCATGTTAAAATATTAAAGTCATTTTACATATTTTGAATATTAATAAACGGGTAATTAAACTTTTAAGTAAACGCATGAACAAATTGCACGCACGTAATAGGCCTATATATATATATATATATATATATATATATATATAGGCCCCTTGTAAAGTTCATTACATCAATTAAATAAATAAAGTCTATAAAGCTTGGTTTCCATACAATCGCTACACGCTAATGCCGACAGCTTTCGGTGATGCCGATTGATTTGTCAAATCGGGGAGCCTTCTCCCGATTACGTCGGGGACTAAAATACGCAGTACAACGATTGCACTGAAAACACTGTAGCGACAGTGTAGTGATTTTTTCAAAATCATGTAAATGTCTTTTATTATTTATAAAACAGATTTTCTTTATTTTATATTTTATCAATCAACAGGCCTCTTATTCGGTTTAAACATTTTAAACAATTTCCAGTCTGATCTAATATCTTACAAGTTCATTGTTTTTGTATAATTCATAGGCCTTATTGTCTTTGAGTTGATGACCGCCATCCGAGATTGACTTTCCGTGAGACAATGGATCACTCTCCTGGAGATGATGCTCTACTCATTCCACCACCTGATGATGGCTTAACTGATGCGAAAGAAAGCCACATCGCTATTAGCTATCGTCTGCCTATACGCGGTGCCAAACAGGCAAACATTTCCAAGCGAGGCCTGAACGTGTTTCTGACCGTAATGACTGTATTTACAAACGTTGCTATGAACGTAAGTCTACCGTTATATTCAGAGTCGATGAACAACGAAAACACAAATCAAGTTGATGAGTATCCGGTACTTTTTCTCAGTTCTTTCTGGTTCCCCTTTGTCTTCTTTGGTCTCGTTTTCTTGCACAGTTGGTGTAATGGGTGTTCGCCGATGCGGTCGACCGTACCGCACCTAACGATGATGGCGTGCGGTGTTCTAAATGCGGTAAACGGTCTTCTGGTTGTTTACGCCAGCGACCCGACGCGCACAGCGCCCGAACTTCAGGCCGTCCTCAGTACATCAATTATTCCGTATACTGTAGTGTGTCGATATTTGATTCTGCGCAAAGGTATGTAATTGCAGGTTATTATTTAGTACCGTATAGTGATTATAAACATACGCACTGATGTGTTGTTCATATCATCTTTAATATCAAATGAATTTGCTAAATGATTTAATAATTTGATATTATGTAAAGCGTGATATTAAATCGTGTAGGCCTGTTACAATGTAATTTTATATGAGATTTACGATAGGCCCCTATAGTGTTTTTTTTTTGTCAATCTAAACCTGTATTAGCTCCAAAATTTTGTAGATTTACATTGGTCATACTCTTTTAATGTTAGAGAGTGAAAACTCCCTTTGTTGTTAGAGTGAATTTTCACTCTTTTGAAGAGCAGTTGATTGATTCTTAAAGAATATAAAAGTCATTCATTGAAAAGATTGAATGCACTTCACCTCGAAAAGTCAAAAACGGAGACGTGCATTTAAGGCCTGTCTACACTATGACAACAATCAACAATTAAAAAGCTAACAAGCATAGGCATAGATCCCGGGGGAGGGGCGGTGGGGGATGGGGGA